AGGACCAAATTACAAATTCAATAGTTGATTCGGACCACAAGATGATACTTTGAATGTAGGAGATAATTAGATGTAACGAGAACTCAAAAAGGAATGGAATATGATCAAAATATTATCACAATCAATGTCCAATCACACAAGTTATATTCCAGATTTTTAGCCGAATATTGATACTCATATTTGGCACTGTAAACGTCTGAATTAGAAAAATTATATTTCTAGAAAAGTTTTAGCCCTTTGATCCAGCGTTCCAACCCACTTTTAATTGTTCCAATCAGATATCGGAAGAGGAAGTTATGGCCAAAATACTGATTACTGTGCAGAGACAAATAATCTACGCGCGAATGAAACATTCCTTATTCGATTGGAACTCTTTGGGAAACCAAATTGGACGTGATTTTCAACCAATTTTTGACTTCTACAAATATATAATAGCAAAATATATGAAGGGAGTGGAGAAAAAGACTTGAGAGAAGAAAAGAGGCAAGAACGCGAAGATCAACTCCAAGAACACGAAGATCGAATTCAATAATCGAATTCGTCATGTCGTTCTTTATTTATTTTTTTGATTTTCTTCTTCTCACCATGATAGGCTAGATTAATTATGTATTAGGTGAATGATGAACCTCACATTGTCATCTTTTAATTTTTATTTTGCAATTTGATATTCAAACACGTTTGATGGACGTTGAATGATTTATATACACTTTCTTGCCTCCATGATTATAGTGCACGATAATTGTGTGAGTTTTGGTGGTTTATTTTATGCATTTGAAAGAAGGAAAATAAACTCAATAAGGTATAAATCATCGTTTTGTTCAAAAATTATAGAAATATACCGATATGCATTACGTGAATCTCTAAGTGTTTACAAAACTTCATGCATTCTTGTATATTGCATTTCTCATAGAAATATAGTCAAATGGTATGATAGAATATGTTCAATTCTACTCGAAAGAGATTGTTAGATAGGTTAGAAACATTGATTCTTCAACCAATTCCTCGTG